CCCTCCCTTGCCGCCAGTATCAACGCGTGCATCGACTCCCCTCCCTCAGCAAGTGTACTGCTGCTCGCAACGTCTCTTGCTTGGGGAGACGGCTCCATTGCAGATGAGCCGAGCGGCACGCAAAGAGAACACCGGGCGTCACGGAAGGAGAACGTCATGCGACTCCATTTCACGAACTTGCTTTTCGGATTACATGTCACTTTAACGTCGGTATATAATTTCACAGTATTGTTATCTTATCGTGCGATCTGTGTGTTTTTAGTATAAAAGTTTAGTTGTCCCATAGCAACGCACGGGCACGCTACCTAGTTTATTTGATAAGTTTATCAAGCGTGGAAAAATATCCTTAGCAAACCACATAGTAATGACACTTTCAATTCACTTTAAGTTATATTAATACTCATGGTAATAAATTTTTGTAAGTCGTATCTTGAAAAAAGTTTAAACAATTTGATTGAAACATTATACCATATGAATATCAGTAATTTAATTTCAAGCATTATTCATTTAATAAAACAATATAATAAATTCAACATCTTGAGTGCCATGCTGCATGCTAGAAACAACTATTTATGCCATTGTAAGAATTAAAAATGTAGCTTAAGACCCAGAATATTATTTTAATAAAATAAAAAATGAAATTTTGAATAAACCATACAATAAGCATTGGAATTTCAAATTAACACATGTATAAAACATTACAACAACTAGATCAAAAGGTGAAAGTTAAAATATAGTTTTTTATGATATCACATAAAGTGAGGAAATAAAAGTTTATATGCTTTAAGTTTATGTTTAAATACATATCATGCTAGAAAAAATATTAATCCTAGAAATTATTACTCATGAAGCCTCTAGAAATAAAAAAGATAGATCCTAAAATTCTTACAAAAACCAAAAAACATTTTGCCATCAAATGGGTAGACTATATTCACCATTGTAAATAATAGTTGTTGTATCTAAGTAATTAATAACCTCAAAATTTGGGAAAAAGAATCAAAACTTAGGTTCATGTCATCAAAATATAGACTATAGCTAAAACCATCATAGTTTAAACAAATGGTTCAGCTAAATGTATATTGGAGACAAATAGAGGGGCTATGTAAATAAAAAAACTGATGGATATGGATGAAAAATACATAAAAATCAATAATTGATAGATTATGAAAACTGAGTATAGACCATAGACTATCTATTATAGCTATTATTTTAGAACATTAGTGAAGGGAAAAACATTTAATATAAGTAATTTTTATTAGTTATTAGTGTCTCCTAAGATTCTAACCAGTGTCAGGGCATGGGTTGATGAACTAGTATAATATATTATAAATAATTCTTTATTAGTCAGATGTATTAAATAGTATATCTCTTATAAACTTTTTAGACAAATATATCTTTTATAGTTCTAGCTCGTGCGAGAGTGTAACACCCTAAAATTTACATTCTTTTAAAATAGTTAAATTTGATTTATTTATGCAATTTTGTGAGCATTAAAATATAGGAAAATAATAATTTTTGTGAAATTAAAATCAATCATAAGGATAGATACATGTTGATACACTCATGATGTGGCATTTCATTTATTATGTTGAGTGGTTTTGATCCAAAAGTCAAAAGGATTCAAAAATCATTTGAAAATGAATTTAGAAAACTGATTTGGAAAAAAAAAGTAAATTCTTTCCCTCCCCCTCCCTTCCTCATTTTGGCCTGCTGGCCCAGCTTTCCCCGCCGGCCCGCTCGCCCACCTTCTCTTCTCCCCTTTCTCTTTTCCTCTTGGGCCGGCCCAACTTAGCAGGGCAACCGTTGCTCCCCTCCTTCTCTCCCCGCTGACCGCCTGGGCCCGCTTGTCGGCGCCGTCGCCCACCTCCCGCATCGTGCGCGGTCAAGGCGGAACTGCCGCTGCCACACCCACCCTCGCGTCGTGGGAGCGTCCCTGCGCCCCAGCCTCTATAAAGGGGAGCTCAGACCCCATCGCCGCCTCCCTGCTGCAGTTTCCCCCTCGCTAGAGCTCACAGAGCCGCAACCGCTGCACAGAAATGCGTCGGGATCCGCCGAGCTCGGAAACCGCCACGCGGTGCGCCGTCCCTGAGCCGCCTTTGTCTTCGTTTTTCATCCGCGGTGAGGCCCCCTTGTTCCCCTCCTTCTCCCCGTGCCTTTAACTTCGGGAATCATGGCCTCTATGGCCCAATTCGCGTGCGCCAGGGACCTTCTCGCCGCCGGCCATGGCCACCACTGCGTCGGTCGTGTCCTCCGACCGCGTTCTCGGCCTAGGCGAGATCGCCTTCACCTCCTCTCTCTCTCTCTCTCTCTCTCGGCGCCCTCGGTTCATCGAATCATGGCCCGAAGGCCTTGTTTCCCGCTCGCCGGCGAGCTTTCTCGCCGCGGCCATGGCAGCGCCGCCGTGCCGGCACTGTTCCCGACCGACGCCTTTTCTCTCTCCCCCTCTCATCTCTAATGTGAGCCGTCCATCCTTGATCCAATGGCCCAGGATGGCCGATACCCCTTCGCGTGGCAGAATTGCTTAAGAGCCCCTCGGCTTTATTCTTTTTACACCCGCAGTCCTCGGCCGATTTAAATATCCCAGATTTAATTTTATTTAAATTTGAAAATAGTTCATTCTATTTACAAAAATGCCACTGCATTGTTTTGCTTATAAAATCGTCGTTTCAGCTCCGAATCGACCCGTTCAAATTGCGTTAGGTTCGTAATTAAGTTCTCTACATGTTAATACCACTGTCAAACATGTTTGCAACATTTAAATTTTCAGGTTAGATTTAATTAAATAAATTGCTATAGGAAATCCCGTTTAATTCATAACTTTCGTGTTTTAGCTTCGTTTTTCGTGAACTTCGCGTCTATGTGATCGTAGAGAGACGTAGATTCTTTTTAAGAACCTTTTTATCTTGTTTTTATGCCCTGGTGTACTGTTCTAATCCCATAATTGTTTGCTTTGCATGAATGCCTTTGGAATGCTTGTATGTTGCTTTGTTGGTTGAGTTCAAACGATGAGGAGAACGTTGGAGACCAAGAGTTCTTTGACGACCAGCAGGAGCAGCCCGAGTTCGTTGAGCAAGGCAAGTATAGCATGGGATCTACCTTGATGTCCTATTCACCATTTATTAATTTCTCATTTGCTTGTGTCTAATTTTGATACCCGTAAGGACATCCTAGTGGTTGAGTATCCTGTTTTCTTGTCTCCTACGGGTTATATGCATATGGGTAGTTTGCTAGCGCTCAATATAACTGAACATGATCTACATAATGACTAATGGTTCTATAGAACAAAAGGGTAAAATTTGCTTTTAAACAACTGAATTATAAGGCGAAGGAGCAAATGACTTTTGATCATGATGCTCTTGGCCCTCCATAAGGACTTATCTGTCGGTAAAAGCTGGTACTAACAGTGCAACCGTGAGAGTCACATGGCTCTAACTTTAGCTCAGTAATAGGACCTTTTCTAGCTTGTTAGAGGTTACCTTCATGGCGTAAAAGGGGCTTGCCACGTTGGGTATAGGGATGACTCTATTCCTATGTGTATAGCCGCGATGGAGATGTGCCATAGGAAAGGGAGGTTCCTACATCTGCCTGCCAAAGAAACCCAGCGGCCCTAACTTGTTAGAGAAACCTATGAAATGGCTTCATAGTGTACCCCGCCTGCTCACCTTGGCAGTGTTATGGGAGTAATTAACCCGGGCATATGGGAATCACGACTCACGGTGAAAGTGCACAACCTCTGCAGAGTGTTACAAATTGTTATAACAGCCGTGCTCACGGTCACGAGCGGCCTGGAAAACTCACAGAATAAATGGTTACTTATTATTGTTAATTTATGATGTTCTGCGATGATAATATGATTCAATTGACTCTGATATCTGGTCATGTGGGTTTAATTGTAGCTTAAGCATAACTTGATAATAGTTGATGATAAAATCTTGACTTACTAAAAGTGCTAACCGCAGTAAACCAGAGTCATCCTTTTTGAGCTTTCATAACCCCATGTTATTTGTTAAGTACGGGAAGTACTTACGCTTGCTTACTTTCAATATTGATAAAAATCCCGGATGGGTAACAGATATCAACGGATATGAGGAGTTTTCAGAGGACTTTTAGGCTTGTGGTCAACCAGTTGACCGTCCCTGTGTTGGAGCTACCACGAGAGAGTTACCTTTTTATTTTCTGCTGTGTTGTGTAAGACTATGTGATTGTATTAATCGTGATGTAAGATACACCGTGATGATACTTTTGTAATTTGTCAACTTATGTGTGTGACTCATCCCTAGGACACATATAAGTTTTATGCATTTAATTTTATTCTTAAAATTGGGTGTGATAGAGAGCATGAGTTGATGGACCGGTAAAATCTCCCGGCCTTATTATCAAGTATTGGACTGTTACTTCACATACAAGGTACACGGTAATGCATTGTTTAACACACCAGAATCTCACACGGCATAGTGCATCCTATCATCCATCCACCACTAACAGTTCTTCCGGAACTTTCAACACCGCAGGAGGTCATGTGTTACGAAGCACAGGGCAGAGCAAAGCACGAACGGCATTCATGGAACAGTTGTACGGGTCAGAAGCTGCACCGTAGCTTCTGCTGCCTCTCAGGCGGGAACGTCTCTATTCTCACAGCGACATCAGGAAGGATTGAGGCAGGGGCGTGCTACTCTCTACGTCTACCACTAGCAGCGGTCAGCAGAAAAAGCGAGCATCGTAATTCGACACTGGCAATGTATACATTGGAGGAAAATTTTCTTCAGGAAATTTAATCCAATACGAATAACCGAGACCATGGTAATAATGAAACATCAACATTAAGGTCACACTTGTACTCCAAACAATATACAGTATGTGCTATATATTTTTTGCAACAGTGCAGCGGAACAGGCAAGCATAACAGGATAGCACAAACAAGTATGAAAATGCAGTACATGAAGTAGTATCTTCTGGAGCATATATACAAGATAGCAACAAGGACGATTAAACTGGTCACTCTAGGAGATAACAACTTGGACCTCGGCAGATGCACCAGCAGCTCTTTCCATTCTACGTTCGATGTTCCTAGCAGCCTCTTCTAATTCCCTTTTCATAGCGTTTACCCTCGCAAAGTGCTGCCTCGCCTCTTTCGGCAGCCGAAGCTGAACCCTCTGCTGCCTCTCTGCATATGTCTCTAGCCCCGCATGCGACATTAGGAGTGATATGTAAGTTAGGAACTCTCCACCGGAGCCAAGGCTTTTGGCATGCAGGTAACCCCTGCATCTACCAGCACAAAAACAGAGCATCTCGATCCATACACCTTTGATTACTTCCCACATCTTGTTGTCATCACCAAATCGCATCAACTCTTGAGCTAGAACCCATGAGTCTTGAATAAAACCTTCTGCAGACTCTGCCTTGCTAATTATCTTTAGTGTAAGTCCTCTTTCGTCCAGCAGTGATAGATCATCATCACCTTGGAGGACGGCCTCAAGTTCATCATAAGCAACTGTGAACAAATTCCTTCTGCTGCCAGGCAATAACATCTCTGGATTAGCAAACAGCAGATGCATCAAGTAGTTGGAGATTTGTCTACATATCCTGGCACATTGAGAATTACCAGATGTGCCCTTCTTATGGAAGCACAAATCCGTGGCCACATGCCAGAGAATGATGCTCTCATCGAATGGCTTCTCTATACTCTCCAGAAGGATTTCTTCACGGCCGTTGCGCTCAAGTGCCCACTGGCCTCGGCTATCGCTGAACCTCCAATAACTCTCGATATCTGCTATATGACTCATCCATCCAGCCTTAACATGCTCATGAACCAACATTGTAATGTCTTTGGATGAGTGATAGGACATCAAGCCAAAATATGTGTCAAGAAAACCTTTGCACTGAAAGAACTCTGCGATGCCCATTAGCCTTGCGTGCCTTCTGTTACAAGCTAAGAATCCTATAAGGCTATGCTGGGCAACCCCGTCTGACCACCCCACCTCAAAATATAAAAATGTAAGAAAGGACGAAATCTCCAAAAAGTATGTGATGTACAATAATATAAATGTAACCTTGATGTCGGTTCCCCTATAAGCATTTTTGTGGCTGCTGTGGAAGAGGCAAATGGGCACGATCGGCAACAGGAGATTAAGTAACATTATAAGGCCAGAAAAGAAATTGCCCCAGCAAGGCGTGGTTCTGTTTTTATCATCCACTTGATCTTCCTTGCTATAAATAAGATTAAAAGTTTCAGAGAGCCCTTCATAAATGGCGTCGTAAGTGGTTTTCTCGTCCAGCAACCAAAAGGATTTCAAGGTAGTGAGACGGTCATCATAGACATATGCATAGTCTACAAATAATTTGTCCGGCACAGAGAGTTGCTTCTTGTGTGGTGATCGGCTATCAGAATCCAGTGCTGGAGGATTTTTGTTCTGTTGCACAAAACTCCGTGCTTCTTGTACGTACCCTTCAAGCTCAACTTCTCTTTTCGCAGTTTTTGTTCTTGGGGCAGGGCGGAAAGTAGTGACTATACTATTAAAGCTAGCCCTCTTGAGAGCCGAATTAGAGCTGCAGGAGCTTTAGCATAACTACGAGTTGTAATTTTGCAAAATATCACGAATCCTATTTGTTCTCTTTCTCACCTGAGACACTGCAGTTAGAATGTGACGCCTCCATAGTTCGTTGTCTTCGATGTTGTAAGCAGAGATGTTGACCGGTCCACCGAGGTGTATCAGCAAGATAGGGGCCCATAAAACCTCTAAGTCACGGCTCTCATTTACATCCCCACGGCTGCAACTTACAGGCTCCTGCTGTGCCTTTCTCTGGCGATTAAACAGCGTGGCGAGGGCATAGATGGCTAGAGCATCTACGCCTAGGTACGCTAGCCAGATGAGCAATCTGTACATGGGCCTGATCTGCTTCTTACGAGAACTGGCAAACAACGAGAGGTAGCACTGAACACCGAGGCTGCCCAAGACGAGGACTCGCAGCTGCCACTCCTCTGTTAGCTAAATTATTGCATTAGTTAGTTATGTAATCTTTGTTCAGATAGTTGATAGTGCATGGTTGGAGGCGTGCTCAACCATGACACGGTCAGGTAGAGTCCGGTTTGAGTACGCGCCCCGGAACTCGCTGCAGCGCGTGGTGCACGTCGCGCAAGAACGGCGATGCACACGGTGCGGGGCGCGGAGATACGTGGAGGCATGTTCCGTGATCTCGTTATGTATCCCTATAAATAGGAAGAAGAAAGACCGGAAACGGTTGCGACATTTGGCAGCAACAAACCCTCGACTTTTTCGTTTCATCTGTAATCTCGCCGCGGTCACTATCGTGACATCGCCGGCGTTCAAGTTCGGTGCAGGTCATTGCCTGCTCCAACAATTGGTATCAGAGCCACGTTAGCGCACGTCGAGGCGCCGGTGGCGGTGAGAAGTTCCAGACACGAAGCCAAGGTGGTCCAGTCCACCGGAGTCAAGAAGGGAAGGTAGCCGAAGTCGTCAAAGATGAGTACGTCGGGAGAGAAGGAAGCTATGGAGAAGGCGTTCAACCAGGCGGCCGGGAACCTAATCTGGCCGATGTTGACACGCACGAATTATCAAGAGTGGGCATCTCATGTCCAGTGCAACCTTGAAGGGATGTTCCTTTGGGACGCGATTGAAGATGCGAAGGTTGAGCGACGCCGGGACAGGTTGGCTCTTGGAGCCATGTTCCGTGGCGTGCCGACAGAGATGCACCCCATGCTCCTGAAGAAGAAGAACGCGAAAGAGGCTTGGGATGCACTTAAGATCATGCGTCTTGGAGCCGACCGAGTGAAGGCAGCCAATGCCCAGAGGCTACTGACGGAGTTTGAACAAATCACGTTCAAGCCGGGAGAAGCAATCGATGAGTTTGCAATGAGGATCTCGAAGTTGGCCACGGATCTGGAGGGTCTAGGAGAAAAGATTACTGACTCTCGAGTTGTGAAGAAGTTTCTCCGTGTGGTGCCTGCACGCTACAACCAGGTAGCAGTCGCGATTGAGATGTTCTGTGACATGAGCACGCTCTCGATCGAGGAGCTCGTCGGTCGCCTAAGGGCGGCAGAGGATCGTTTTGAGCCCTCTGTCGAACAAGTCACAGAGAAGATGCCAAAGCTCTTGCTAACCGAAGAGGAGTGGCTGGCGAAGAACAAGAGCCGAATGGTGCAGGAATCATCATCGTCATCGGGTCAGAGAAGCGGCGGCAGCCATTATGTCCGCAAGGATAGATCCGGGGCGCGTGGCGGCGGTGATGCACGCGACTCCGGAGCCAAGCTCACATCCATGGGGACACCGAGGCGCAAGGGGCGGTGCAATAAGTGCAAGATTTATGGGCACTTTGCCAGGGAGTGCAAGACCAAGCTGAAGGAGGAGAAGCAGGAGGCTGCTCACCACGTAGCAGGTGATCCTGAAACGGGTGCACTGCTTGTTGCTCAGGTGTGCAATGTGACACGCACACGGTCAGCGAGCGCGCACCAGGTGTTCCTGAGCCAGGAGAGAGTGTTCCCGGCCGAGTACAATGAAGGGGCCTGGATACTCGATATAGGTGCCACGAACCATATGACGGGGAATCGTGACGCACTGGCAAGCCTGGACGAGTCGGTGCGTGGCGCCGTGCGCTTCGGTGATGGATCTACAGTGCAGATCCAAGGAATTGGCGTCGTGACAATTGCTGGCAAGAACGGCGAACATCGTGTGCTCACCGAGGTATACTTCATCCCATCGCTCAGATGCAATATTGTGAGTCTTGGTCAGCTGGAAGAAGCTGGATGCCGTGTCGAGATTGACAATGGCGTCTTGAAGGTGTTTGAGCGCCGTCAGGCTGCACAGCAGCAAATTGGCGTTCTGATCAGGGCGGTAAGGAGGAACAGGATGTATGTCTTGAAGCCGAACCTAACCGTGCCCGTGTGCCTGTTATCCAAGATGGAGGAGATGGCGTGGCTTTGCACGCCGGTATGGGCACTGAACTTGTGGCTCAAGGATCTCGCATCAAAGCGAGATGGTAGAGGGTTTTACCCAGATTCATGGAGTTGAGCGGTGTCGCGGCGGCTATGTCTTGGGCAAGCATCATGTAAGGCCGTTTCCACATGTGTGTCGACATACCGAGCTGAAGGTGGACTTGAACTAGTCCATGGTGATCTGTCTTGAGCGAGATCACACCGCCAACACCAGAGGCAAGTCATACTTTTCTGTTAATTTTTGATGACTTTAGTCGATTTATGTGGCTTGAGTTGTTGTCAACAAAAGATGAGGCTCTGGTGTAATTTAAGAAGATAGTTGAGCGTGAAGAAGTTGAGTCAGTCAATTTGTCGGTTAAAAGCTTTCGAAGCAGATTGTGGGGGTGAGTTCAACTCGCGTGCATTCATGACTTATTGCAGTGATCGTGGAGTGAAGCACAATACGACTACACCCTACACTCCTTAGCAGAACGGAGTGGTTGAGCGCCGGAATCAGTCTATAGTGGAGATGGCGCGTTGCTTGCTGAAAGCAATGAAAGTTCCGGCCAAGTTTTGGGGAGAGGCTGTAAAGACAGCAGTGTATCTACTGAATCGAGCACCAACCAAGAGCTTGAATGGGAAAACTCCATATGAAGCTTGGTTTGCAAGGAAGCCTGGAGTCAAACATCTACGAACGTTTGGGTGCATGGCATATGCCAAGAAGTTGGGACCTGGGGTCAACAAACTTGCTGATAGATCAATTCCAGGTGTTTTTCTGGGATATGAGCCTGGTGCCAAGGGGTACCGCATATATGATCCAGCGAGAGACAGGTTGATGGTGGCTCGAGATGTTATCTTCGACGAGACGAAGCCGTGGAATTGGGAGGAGAAGAAGAGCAGCAGTGCGAGCAGTGGAGTAGTATCAGCACCCGACACCTTCAATGTTCGATTATTGACATCGTACACGGTCCGACAATAGACCACGATCTGTAATTGGATGCTGATCTCAGTGGTGCACTGTCTCCGGCCGGATCTGCTGCATCAATTCCACCCGAGGGAGAGATGGGAGGATCACCACCACACACTCCAATCTCTAGTGCAGCACAGCCATCAGACCAGATCCAATGGGCAACACCTCCATCTGATGCATCTTCAGGAACAGATGAGGCACCAAGAAGGTACAGGACTGTGGCAGAGTTGCTAGATTCAACAGAAATCATGGAGAATGTTGAGTCAAGTGCACTATGCCTAGTTGCTGCTGGTGAACCGAGTTCAATGGAGGAGGCCATGACTGAGGAGAGCTGGAGGGAAGCCATGAAGGCCGAGATGCAGGCCATAGAAGATAACAGAACCTGGGATGTCAGTGAGTTACCAAAGGGGCAGAAGGCCATCGGCCTAAAATGGGTTTTTAAACTCAAGAAGGACCCTGAAGGCAAGATAGTCAAACATAAAGCAAGGCTAGTTGCCAAGGGTTATGCTCAAGTGCAGGGAGTGGATTTTGAAGAGGTTTTTGCACCTGTTGCCAGGATTGAGACAGTAAGGGTGCTGCTGGCTCTAGCAGCAAAAGGAGGATGGGAAGTGCATCACATGGATGTGAAATCAGCCTTCCTCAATGGTGATTTGACAGAATCAGTATATGTCAAGCAACCCCCTGGTTTCATTGTGGGTAGAGGTGACAAAGTTCTGAAGCTCAGAAAGGCACTATATGGCTTGAGACAGGCACCAAGGGCCTGGAATGCTAAGCTAGATAAAGAGCTCATTGCTCTTGGTTTTGTCAGAAGCAAACTGGATCATGCTGTGTACAGGAGATGCAACAAAAGCTCTTTTCTCATTGTAGGGGTGTATGTTGATGATCTTATCATCTCAGGACCATGTGTCAAGGATATAAAGCAATTCAAGATGGAGATGAAGAAAAAGTTCAGCATGAGTGACTTGGGACTTCTTAGCTATTACCTGGGAATTGAGGTGAAGCAAGAAGACAGTGGTATCACGCTTTGTCAGACTGCATATGCAAGCAAGATACTGAATTCAGCAGGGATGCTGAACTGTAATTCAAGTGCTACACCAATGGAGTCTAGACTGAAACTCTACAAGAGAATGGAGGATGAGGTAGTGAGGCCAACAGAATATAGAAGTTTAATTGGTAGCCTGAGGTACCTTGTCAACACCAGACCTGATCTGCCTCATTCGGTGGGTGTTGTCAGTAGGTTCATGGAGGCACCAAGTCAAGCTCATTGGGGAGCAGTGAAGCAAATTTTGAGATACCTAAAAGGTACCATGGATTATGGCTGCAAATATGAAAAAGGCACTGAACTGAAACCCTTCTTGCTTGGGTACAGTGACAGTGATTTTGCTGGTGATGTTGAAGACAGGAAAAGCACCACAGGAGTTGTCTACTTTCTTGGTGGCAATGTGGTCACTTGGGTGTCACAAAAACAGAAGACTGTTACTCTCTCTTCATGCGAAGCTGAGTATGTAGCGGCGGCGGCGGCAGCCTGCCAGGGAGTTTGGTTGAGCCGACTTGTGGGTGATTTGTTGGGAACAAAGGAGGCGCGAGTAAAGCTGCTCATGGACAACATGTCTGCAATAAGTCTGAGCAAGAACCCGGTGCATCATGATAGGAGTAAGCATATTGACACTAAGTTTCACTTCATCCGTGAATGCATCGAGGAGGGCAAGGTGGAGGTGGATCATGTTGGCACTGTGGATCAGCTGGCCGACATCTTTACCAAGGCCCTGGGGCGAGCAAGGTTCATTGAACTGAGGAGGGCACTCGGCGTCATTAAGGTGCAATAAGTTTAAGGGGTGAGTTGTTAGCTAAATTATTGCATTAGTTAGTTATGTAATCTTTGTTCAGGTATCATCTAGAGTCAGGTAGTTGATAGTGCATGGTTGGAGGCGTGCTCAACCATGACACGGTCAGGTAGAGTCCGGTTTGAGTACGTGCCCAGGAAC